TCTATTCTATTCTATTCTATTCTATTCTATTCTATTCTATTCTATTCTATTCTTCTCTATTCTATTCTATTCTATTCTATTCTATTCTATTCTATGCTATTCCCCTACTCCATCTCTTTCTTTCCAATGCATCCTTATTCTATTCTATTCTATTCTATGCTATTCCCCTACTCCATCTCTTTCCTTCCTTAATGCATCCTGCAGTACTCAACCCTTTTAAGATGCTTCTGCCCTGCTTCCCGTACTGTCTGGCTGTAAGCACAAAAGGCAAGAGGGATGGTAAAGGATGGTCTCTGCTGTCCACTCACATGTCTGATACCACCAAAACCCAAGCTCCAGCAGCACACCACCACTTGCTCAGCTGCTGCAGATCCACTATGTAGCACATGAAAAAAAACCTGATTATCTAATTCTCTGAAAACATCATCTTTGCTGCAAAATCTCTGTCTCCACATGGTTTCTGTGTACCAGTCACTGCCCATGGCAGTATGCAGACTCCATCCTTTTTGGTCCCATCCTCAGTCAGACTCAATCAGACATGCTGCGTCCTAGACTGCAGCAGCTGAGGAAGCATAACTGAGTTGTTAGAGCATGGGTTTCTATGTCACCAGTTATAGTAAATTACAACTTACGGATGAAATAAGCAAAAAGAAATCACTAAATCTGCCTGACTAAACCAAAATAACACGTACATTTTCATCTTACGTTTTGAAATAAGAGAAAGAAGAAAAAGAACATTCTCATGAGTAAAAAGGGGCTGCTATCTGAGAGCTATATTGCAGGGGACAAAATCACAGAAGCTACCACAAAAGGTAAACTGCCTATAGTAAAAAATGCTTCCAGACTACAAATTGATTAAACAGATTTACTTTTACTCTTTCTTAAACACATTTTCAGTTTTTATGAAACTGCAATTTCAAATAATTAGATTTTGCCGAAGTCCTTTTTGTATAATGGTTTTCAGAACCATGTTCCAGCCATGTTCCCTTCTGGATTGATTGTAAACAATTCTCTGTATGCCTAAAATGCTGCATCAGACATTGTAACACTGCTCCTTAGCCGTAAGTGGTTAAATAAACCCCACAATAACTGTCATTTGCAAAATCCACATCATGAGTAGGGGAAAAAAAAACCAACCTCCATCCAATATAATAAATTTTCTTCTACAAATGTTTGCTTAGAAAATTGATTCAAACAACTGCAGCAAACTCAGATCTCTAAAAAGTTTACAGAGGAAACACAAAGGGAGTAAAAGAGTGACCTAATCCATTCACTTCAGCATTCAGAAAAATACTTATGCTGCATTTATTCAGCTTCAGTTCCACCACTGAAACAGGCAAAATGCAGCAACTGCTTAGGCCTAGAAGCACTACCCAGACAGTGTATTTTGTACACTTTTGTACACTTGTTTTCTTCACAAGCAGAAATACTGTACAGTAAAGCTAAAAATAACAGTGTACACTGTGCTCCATTAGAGGAGGGAATACTTTGAAATACCATTTCAAAAGTATTTTAAAATTACTGTATGCTGTTCAGACTTCAAGATTTTTTTTTAATATAACTTACAGACAACATGTAACTTTCTGGATCTTTCAGAAAACAAAGAGTCCCCATGTGCCTTGTCCAGTGCAGGAGGAAACCTGTGAGCAGACGAGTTCCACAATTGCCATTTTAAGATACTTTGCAGCATCTTCCTCAGCAGCTAGTAATGGCCACTATCAGAAACCGGACACCAAGTGCAATAAACTGATTTGGATTTCTAAATAGGAATAAAGATAGAGCATGGCAAGTAAAAGATTTTGATATTTCAAAATGAGGTACTTGAAAAAATTTGCCCCAAACCTCCAAACCTTGCTGTGGAAATGAAGGGAGAGCCACCTCCAAGAGTCACCCTGGCAGGTTGCTCCAGGGTCCTGGACCCTGGAAATTCTGGTCACAGCCCTCACAGCTATGCACCCCAAAGTCCAGGAATAAGGAGGTTCCTGATTCCCAAACAGGTCACCAAGATTACTGGATGATATGGAAAGGAAACTAAAGTGAAAACAGATTCAATCAGGGCATCATCAAAACTGAACCCACTTCACAAATAAAAAATTCTGTGAAGAGCTGTTCCATAATTTTTTCCATTCAGGTCACTAGAAGGTCTCCAGCTTCTGGATGAAAAAGGTTCTGAAACATGTAGATGACGTAGGAGCACCTTCCTTTCAGCCCCCTGCCTGGCATTTCAGCTAGCTCTTTTTGGTCCTCCCTCTTTG